TAATTTTTTTATAGGTATAATGAGCTGCTCCTCCCTACACCCAAACTGTTTTAGCCAAAATTAGGGGAGATATATATATATATATATATATATATCTTATAAACTCCTAAGGTCTTTGATACAAATTTTGCAATGTTTTTCTTTTTCTTCTTATGGTGAACTCCAAGGAGGCAATAAATAGATATGCAATAATGTTTTTAATGCCATTCTAGACGCACAAGACGACAAGATATAAGAAATGGAGACCCATTGACCCACTGCCCAGAATTACAGCGCTATGGTAAGTCACATTTTTAAATCTTTTAATCTTCTAAGGTCAGTACAGAAATCAGAATCAATAATGACATACTCATACACGGAGGCAGAGATATGAATGCCTTCTAGAATAAAGAAATCCATTTTAAGAGAATGAACATCTAGTGGAAGAAAATTCTAAAGAAACAAAGCATTAAATTTTTTTATCAGAGGTATGGCCAAAGCAAGATTTTAGAGGCTCACATAATTTAAAGTGCAGTAGTTTTCAATTAACCACAAAAACAATTTCACATCTAAATATTTGATTTTGTATGTAACAGCCACCTGAGGAGAATAAAACAGTTCAACTCACTGTTGTACAGTTGATTCTGACTCATAGCTTGCCTCTATCACATTTCCAAGGCAGTATATTACAGACTGTACATCTTTCTTCCATGGAGCCTTTAGTGGGTTCATCACCAGGGATACATAGCCTTTGGATTAGCAATCCAACTCCTTATGGCCTGCACGATCAGAATTCTCTCATAATAAACAACATAAATATTCCTAAGAGCTCTGGTGGCCTAGTGGCAAGAAGTTGCCCTGCAATTCTGAAGGCACAAAGTTTGAGGATACCAGCCTTTGGGAGTAGGAAGGGTAATCTCCTGTGCAGTTAACTGCCTCTGAAAACCTACTGGAGGGTCAACTGTGGGCCAGTTCCAACTCTATGGTCCACAGCAACAGGAAATATAGCAAAAGAGAAAGTATAGTCTTATAATAAACATGTAAATAATTCGTCTGCTCATGATGGAATACACCCATAAATTGTTATTGGATATTATATTAAGTAGAAGGTAATTTAAATGTCTTCACACTGATGTAGTATAGTAGTAGGCCATTCCCTTGAAATAAGTGTTTTGGACCAAGTTCAATGTATGCTTCTTAAAGTAAGCCAAGACAGCTTATCTGATGAGGACAGAGCAACAGATTTTTATTTTGAAATGCAGTAAAATGATAGAAATATCCTGCTTGGCCCCCCTACTTAAAAAATTTATCAAAAGAATTATAAGCCTATGCTTCCCTCTACTGGGGAAACGCCTAAATGACATAATTACTAATGAATAAGCTGTGGTTAAATTTTGGTAAATGCAAATATTGTAATAGAACATTTTCCTATTAACTTTTAAACTTATAATTGTATAACCTTATAAGTGATACGATTTTTTTGTCAATTAACTTTGAGTTTATCTACTAACTTGGTGTAGTACATTATTTGTTCCATTAATGCAAAAAATAAAACAGAAAATAACACTGAACACTACTCCTTAGCAGTGTGTAAAACCTAGTGCACGTTATGCAAAGTCCAATATGCCTATTGACTTTTCCCAAAGTCAACTTTACCTGCCAAGTAATTTATATATATCAGGATATTATTTACAAATGCTTACATGGTTGTTTCATGGAATGTCCTCACCTAGAAATGGGTGACCAGGAATAGAACTTGTTTTGGATGTACTTTGCTTTCCAAATTTTTTCCGCATTGACTTTCTTGTCTGTAATTTTCTTCATTGTAAAACAAACAAACAAACAAACAAACAAACAAACAAACAATCCCACCACTAAATTAGAGTAAGATTAGGCTGAGTATTAGACTCTGTACAGGTGTAGTGTATAACGTCCCTTAGATAGATATTCCCGTAATTCCTTCAGTTACTCAAATAAAACATTCACTATTTTTCCATTTATCTATTTTTAATAAAAGGTATTCAGTTGTGATTCTTATTCCATAATTGAAGTAGTAACCACTGCAAGTGTTTCCAAGGGTGTAAATCTTAGTGGGAGGAGACTGCCTATCTTTTTTCCAAGGACTGACTAGTGGATTCAATCTGTCCACCTTTAAATTAGCAGCTCGATATGTTACTTATTATACTACCAGGACACTTTAATGCAGTGCAGGAAGTATTAATTCACTCTGTTAAATAATCTATGGGCCTGGATATGGAGTTGGCAAGCATAAGAACTGGAAGTAATAGAAGCACAGGGATATACTTTATTTGTAGTCTATTATATATTAACTCTGTCTTGGTAGGAATATTATTTTACTCACTTATATTCCTAGGCCTATATTAGATGAAGTATCAAACATGTTGTAAATATTCAAATAAATATTTGTTGAATGAAAGAATGAATGATTTAAATTTTATGAGCTATTACCTAGACAGTTATCTTACTGTATTATTTTTTAAATAGGTATTTTAACAAAATAGTGTCTATTATATATTGTGAAAAATGTCTTAAACTTGCCTAGTAGTTATTACTGCTATAAAATGCAGATATAGAATCTCTTTGGAAATATTAACAATCGAATAATTAACAGATATTTTTAGACATGCTAATCATAGGAAATTATTCCACATTTTGAATACTACTTATGTAATCATAATGACAAACTATTAACAATCCAGCCCCATCATAGGTCCAATTAGTATCTCAAAATAACAATTTTAAGCAGTTATGGGTTCACGTATTATAAAAGGAGGAGTGGTTATGTGGAGATGGCCAATTCTGACTTCTACATGCTTTATACAGGGGAACTGCCCCCATCAGTAACATACAGAGTATCAAACAAATATCTACATAATCAGGCATGTCACCAGCCATTCTCCTGTTTCTATGACTCATTGGGTCCAATGTTCATTGCAAATTGACCTACAGTCTTTACACACAGTTGCAGGGTTTATTAGGGAAATACGCTGGGGAGTGGAAGAGAAAAAAAAATTATCACACAATGCAAGTCCAGGTTCAGTACACTAGTCTCAAGCCAGATTAACAAGGCACAATTCTTCAATTATTGGAATTCTAGGTTCAGCTTAATAGCACAAATGCACCTCAAGTTTCCTAAATCATCCAGCAAATTATATTTCAGAGCAATTACAAGTCAGCTTTTCCTTCAATCATCCATCAAACAAAACCTTTAGCTGTGGCTCAATCTCTAGCATTCCTCTGGTTACACCTTGCCACAGTCTCTTGACAATAGTACAACTGTCTCTTCACAGCAGTGCTTCAGTCTCTTTACCTGCTCTACATCAGTTTTTCAAAGTATGGAAAGTGTGCTCTTATATTGGTTGAGCTGTTGTTGATTTGTAAGACCATGTGTCCACAGTTAAGATAGCTAGCAACCATGTCCCCAACAATGCAATGGATAGAAAAGCCAATTTTTAAGGTTTCTGAAACCACATGTATTTACAAAGAAAATCTCCTATCATGAGATTTTTTAAAAAGTAAGACTGTGGCTAAATACGTCTTCCTGATTACATAATGATTGGGTTTTTAAGAGTACTGCAGATTTAAAAAATGTGATGAAATGTCAGAGCAGTAAATTGAATGAGTAAACCTGAAAATTTGGCATATAGACTTCCTTGGCTTTTGAAAGTAAAATGAATGTGAATAAATTTTCTCCTCGTTTTTCAATCAGAATGCATACTGTAAAGTGAAAAGGGAATATCTGTGGTTTAGTGTTACTGGGTCTTTTTCATGGGTAGACAATTCCAGGTAGATATTTATGATCTATTGAAGTAAAATAGTGAACAGTGAAATAATCCAAGGAGTTCTGCAGCAATATACCATTCCTTCTTTGAAAATCACTTTGTTCCTTGTCTTCTTGTATTGCTAAATTACAAAACATAAAAACTAGACAACATATATTTCAGTGAATTTCAAATGTTTGAAATTAAGTCAGGGATTCTCATTTGTCAGGTTCAATGTTACAACTAGAATGAATGACTTCCAGGCTTAATCTTACTATTTGGAATCAAGAAACAATCTTGAAACAAGTAACGTTAATATTTGGGAGTAAAGTGGGCAATAATCCAAAACACAACCCTATTAAATCATACGTGCTGCCTTGCTAATGTCACTTCTCACAATGGATAAAATATATGTACTCATATGGAAATATATAAAGATATGGGATGTTTTCACAGTGAGCTGCTAAGCAACATGAAGCCAAATTACGCACTTCAGGATGATCATTTCCAGCTGTAATGGTAAACATATTCTATAACACTCCATATTTTAAAGGTACTGAGATTTTAACAGGGTGACTGTGTAAGATAGTTCAGAATTAAGGTGGAAGAAATTTCACGTTAGATGAAACCTTTAACACTCAGTTGGCACTAGGTTATCTCTTGAGTAAAAGCTGCACTGGTGTTGAATTATTGTAGGCGAAAGAAAACAAAACAAAAAAAATCCAGCTCTGTTCCCTCTTGATCTCACTACACTTTCTCTTCCTTCAGCTGTATATATCCACCTAGGGTACTTTTTGGAAGCAAGAGTGGCATCCACTTCCTAAATAACATGCCACTGGAAACTATGAACTTTGATAAGTGTTGGTAGTTGTAGAGGGGCTTCAAGACTTTTGGTCATAAGGTCACTATGAGTCATGCTCAACTCGAAGGCAATCAAAAACAACAACAACAGGGTACTTTTACTTTAACCCTAAATTCACATTTTGGCAGATCTTCTTTTCTTTCCACTCATACCTTATATTAAATATGTGGAATTTAGTTAAAGATGTTGAAGAGAAATCTCTGATTATTTTGCAATTTGTTCTCTTCCATAAAATAGCAACTGTGACTATTGGAGCTTGTCCAAGTTTTCATTCAAGAAAATGAGTGACCAAGTCAATTTACCTTAAAACTACCTCCTATTCCTATCCCCCCTTCTTTACTAAACAAGAGCGAGCCAAACTATCTTCTGTGTGTCTAAGGAGTAAAAAAAGTTCCACTCTGTGTTTTACATACTTTATTAAAGTTAACATCAACTTAAGTGCTTGGAGCCTTGAAATATTTAAGTAGTCCATAGGGAGTTGTACTGTCAAACTCTGGAGATTCATTTCCACCAGTGGGTGGCTCTGCTGAAGGAAAAAAATAGACATTCTCCTTCTATGTAATTCATTGTTTTTGAAACTCAATAGAGGGTCCATAATGAATCAGGTCTTTCATGACAGCATTGATAGTATTTTTAGCTTAATGTTATTTTTTCAAT